AGATCGCCGAGCTCCGACATGCTATGCCCATTTTGTCATGCCGGGAAAACGCACATGCTCTTCACGAATGTCCGAGAGGATGCCCCGTGGGCAAACACACTTTTCTCTTCTGCACCTTGGCAGGTGTTCCCTAGTATAATGCAGATCAAGTATTTTCGCCTGGAGATGGTTGTCTTCGACCTGATGCACGTTTGGCATTTGGGGTGTGGCAGAGATATCGCCGGCACGTGCATTAAGGAGCTCACGAAAGCCAAAATTTTCATTGGTAGCAAGATCGGTGAGAGGCTCCAATCGGCATATCAATCCTTGAGATCCTGGGCTCGAGAACACAACAAAACCTTGGCCATCAAAAGGTTTACGAAGGAGAATGTGCATTGGTACAGCGATGCCTGCCCCGAGCCTTGCACGATCTTATAGTAATTAATATATCCCGTTGAGTTATTTTCGTTTCGTTCGGACTTGTCGCGATTGAAATCTCCTCTACGCATACGTGCGAACCGCGGGAATCCACTGCAAAGCTTCGGACACAGCTGTCATCATGGCATGGTTGGCATGGCTTTTCCAGAACTTGAATCATGACTTGGTGTGGCCACTACCTGAATTGCGAGAGATTGTGCAGCATGCCGAGACCTGTATAGGTACCATGGTGCGAGCGGGTAGGTATTTCACCCACAACGAGTGGGTCGACGTCGTATCCTCGGGTCACTTGTTGGTTAAGCAGTGGTTTCGCTTGGCCAAGCAGGGTGTGGACAGGTCACTTGTCTTTTTAGCAAAGGTAAGGCCGAAGGGGCATGCCTTGCAACACATGATCCAGTTTCTTGAGCTGTCGGAGTCTCGCGAGAACCCGGCCTTTTACAGCTGCTGGATGGACGAGGACAGTGCATGCACTGTAAGCCTGTAGCCCGAATTGCAAACAAACATGCTGCCAGGACTACGTGAAGAAGTTCCTGCGAGTCCAAAGAGTCTTGCACTACGGTAGCTGCAGTCTCACCATTTTGCAGAGAAGTCTCATCAACTGCAAGACCGCTTTCGAGGAACTAGGGTTCTGAAAATGTTGCAAGCTTGCTGCCTGCACCTTTTTTGCAAGTCAAGCCATGCCAATGTAGCAGTCTGCATGTGCCATGGCATGTTTCGATTTGTGTTGCAAGTTGTTACTGCTTGTCATGGCATGGATTGCTCTGTGTATTGGGTATATATAGAGTTTGCGATCTTAGGATAGATATATATCTACTATATTCGCAGTCAAGGCATGCCAAAGCAACTCAAGCCATGCCCAGCGAGTCAAGCCATGTCAAAAATACATAGTAGTATAGTGGTAGTAGTAGTAGTAGTAGTAGTAGTAGTAGTAGTAGTAGTAGTAGTAGTAGTAGTAGTAGTAGTACTAGTAGTAGTAGCATGCCAAAGCAACTCAAGCCATGCCCAGCAAGTCAAGCCATGTCAAAAATACATAGTAGTATAGTAGTAGTAGTAGTAGTAGTAGTAGTAGTAGTAGTAGTAGTAGTAGTAGTAGTAGTAGTAGTAGTAGTAGTAGTAGTAGTAGTAGTAGTAGTAGTAGTAGTAGTAGTAGTAGTAGTAGTAGTAGTAGTAGTAATAGTAGCATGCCAAAGCAACTAGTACTAGTACTAGTACTAATACTAGTACTAGTACTAGTACTAGTAGTACTAGTACTAGTAGTACTAGTACTAGTACTAGTACTAGTAGCAGCAGTAGTAGTAATAGTACTGGTACTAGTACTAGTACTAGTACTAGTACTAGTACTAGTACTAGTACTAGTACTAGTACTAGTACTAGTACTAGTAGCAGCAGTAGTAGTAATAGTATAGTCGTAGTAGTAGTAGTAGTAGTAGTAGTAGTAGTAGTAGTAGCAGTAGTAATAGTAGTAGTAGTAGTAGTAGTAGTAGTAGTAGTAGTAGTAGTAGTAGTAGCAAGCCATGCCAAAGCGCCAAAGAATACAAATCAAGTCATGCATGGTATATCTTCTTACCACAAGAGACGAAGTGAAAATAAGCGACGCCGATAACTAGTTGAAGGCTAACAAACGAGCCAATATGAATTTAAACGACGCTGCACTTGAATGTTTCTTATATTCCTCAATATGATCGATATATTCCTCAATTGTCTCTTAAAAACCGAACCAATATGAATTTAGCTGTCTTTTTGACCACCGGGGTCTTTTCAGAGTGCGTTTCGTCCTCTAGGAAGCCCCCAGCCAAGCACCAGCCAAGCCCCAGCCAAGGCCCAACCCAGCCCCAGCCAAGCCCCAACCAGGCCCCACCCCCCCAGGACCAGGAGTGATGCGCTGTAACAGCGCATCACCCGCGATGCGCTGTTACAGCGCATCACCCCACTAACTCAGCCCAACCGAATGCCCCAGCCAACCACGCACCAGCCAGGCCCCAGCCAAGCCCCAACCAGGCCCCACCACCCCCCGCACCAGGAGTGATGCGCTGTAACAGCGCATCACCCGCGATGCGCTGTAACAGCGCATCACCCGCGATGCGCTGTTACAGCGCATCACCCCAATAACTCAGCCCAACCGAACCAAGCCCCCAGCCAAGCACCAGCCAAGCCCCAGCCAAGCCCCAACCAGGCCCCACCACACCTACCTGATAGATCCTTTGCGTGTAATTTTACATTTTACATTTTTTAATTTTTTACACGTTTTTGACGTGTAAATCTTTCCCTAAAATTTACACTTTTTCGTGTAAATTTGGGTGTGTAAATTACACGCCAAAACGTGTAAATTATACACCCATGTTCTCCGAATTACACTCTGTTTCGGTACATTTGCAGCCGAGATTACTGGCACAAAGTTCCGTTGTGCTTGTGTTTCCATGTGTTTCCCAATGCCATTTGGACGAAACACACACACGAAAAACAAGATTTTGTTGTCTCCACTGAAGAATGCGGCCGACATAACAACAAGCAGAACCAAGAGATGTATATACATGTTTGTGTGGAGGAGAGAGAGTCCTCTGTTCTTTTGAGCCACAAATTTGAGCCAGAAGAACTTTTTTTGGAGGTTTCAGTGACAGAATTTCGAGCCACCAGCACATCTTGTTTGTGGAGGAGAGCTCCTCTGTTCTATTTGAGCCAAAAACTTGAGCCACAAGAATTAAATTTTAGGGTTTAGGGTGAGGTCTGTAGCCGAGAATTTGATCCAAAGAATGAGAGGGTGTGTAAGGTCTGTAGGGTTTTATAGGGTTTAGGGCCAAAAAGGTCTGTATAGGGCTTAGGGTTCGTGTGTGTTTTCCCTGTTTCTCTCTCACTCTCTGTGCGTGTGCCCTCACATCTCGTCGGTCAAAAAACTTCCTGCTGCTTTATAATGTGTTCGCAGTTTCGCTGTGCGAAAGCTTCTCACACAATGAGGCATGCGATGCTCTTCACATTGGAAGTCGCGATGTGCCACAGGTTTCGAAACTGCACTGCGACGACATCTTTTTTTTCGCGAGAGCGATGAGAGTGCTTCCTCCAAGTGCGAGAAACCTCCCCCAACTCGGTGTAACACCAAGAAAGGAACAGAGAGGGGAGTTTGCTTTGTGGATCTCCCCACTGACTCGGTGTAACACCAAGAAAGGAACAGGGGAGATCTCATCTGTCAAAATGGACCAGGCGAACAGAGAACAAAGGTCACGACAGCTTCTGCTGCTTTGGAGCAACACGGGTATGTCTTCAGAAAGTTCCAGAGCTCAAAACCGGCCAGAGCCTGCCAGAGAGCACACTCTGAATCTTCTTTTGTGGGAATGCACAAACACACAGTCTGTAAACCCTTGGAGCAGGCCTTGGTGATTTGTGCCAAAACCTCCATAGCCCTCCCCTGACCTAACTCGGTGTAACACCAAGAAAGGAACAGGGGAGTTTGCTTTGGAGAGCTCAAAACCAGCCACAGCCTGCCACAGAGAGCACTCTGAATCTTCTTTCGTGGGACAGCAAAGACACACTCTGTAAACCCTTGAAGCAGGCCTTTGCGAGCCGTGCCAAAAGTGCACACACTTTTGGCCAAAAGGGGCCAAAGCCCAGTCCAAGTCTCCACAGCTGGCCACCAAAACCTCGTCCAGGATGATGGAGCCTGCCAGAGAGATGCAAACAGAGTCTTCCTTTTGTTGTGGCTTATAGAGGGTTTATAGGGTTCAGGATTTACAGGTTTCTATAGAGAGGGTTTAAAAGGGTTGTGCGGCAGGCCTCTGTGCACTGCGAATTTTTTCCGCGAGAGCGATGAGAGCTCTTGGATTTTGTGCCCTGAGCTAACTCGGAAAGGGACAGGGCAGTGCTTTGATATATTGTGCCCTGACCTAACTCGGGGTAACACCAAGAAAGGGACAGGGCAGTGTGGTTTGATATATATATTGCGCCCTGACCTAACTCGGTGTAACACCAAGAAAGGGACAGGGGAGTGGTTTGATATATTGTGCCCTGACCTAACTCGGTGTAACACCAAGAAAGGGACAGGGGCGTTTGCTTTGTGGATCTCCCCACTGACTCGGTGTAACACCAAGAAAGGAACAGGGGACATCTCATCTGTCAAAATGGACCAGGAGAACAGAGAACAGAGGTCACGACAGCTTCTGCCACTGCAGGTGAAGTGCAAGCCTCATCTTCAGGTTCAGCTTGTGGCTCGCCTCCTCTCGCTGAACACCACGACAGCAGGAAGCCATCAGAGTGCCGAGCTTGGACATGCAGTCCTCGAGGGCCCCGAAACCCAAAATCGTTTAGACTTGAAGCCCTCTCTATATATATGTCCTAGGACCCACATATATGAAACCTCTACACAAAAAAAACCCTTTGGATTGTGCGAGCACGTGTTTATATAGCAGGAGACCATTCATTTCTGTCCTCCCCTCGCCAGCAAGATGTGAGGCCAGGATGAATCAAGTGACTGAGCATGACGATATGCTCGCAGGCATGCATCCTTCTATATGTCTCTGGAAGAAAAAGGTTTGTGGGCTTTAGAAAAAGGCTGTTTATAGGGTTTAAGGGTTGCAGGATTTGTGTTTGTATATTTATAAAAGCCACAAATGTGAAAAACATGCATTGTTCCGGAAGAAGAGAATCTTTTCCGTAGGATTGAAGGCCCGACGATCTTCGCTGCGAAAGCGATCCCCGACCATGACATACAAACATGCGAAGTCCCGAAAGTTCGTCTTCAGTCTGTCTGCAGCTTCGGCAGGAAGGCAGAAATAGCCGTCTGCAATGGGCCATTCCTCCAGTATCTCCTCGAACTTGCATGTCAAATCCAAGAGTAACCCAATCTCTTGGAAGTCCTGACCAGGAACACCAAAATGACCCCACATTGCCCGCACGGCTGCTGCCATGTCCTTGATCTCCGCCGCTTTTCCACGAAGCTTCGGAAAGTCGGTCTTCTTCTTGTACATGCTGACCTTGTTCAGCCTCTGGGAGTACGGGCTGTGCACCTTGTGGGTGGATTGGTATGTCTTCAGAAAACCCCAGAGTTCATGCAGATTGTCGCTTGGACTCCCCTGCATCGTCTCCTCACAGAGGACCCAAAAAACCGATCCATAGAGCTGCTGGAGATAGCCAAGGTACCGGCAATGCATCAGGTCAAAATGGACCACCAGCACAGAGCAGAGGTCCTTCTGGAACATCCTGTTCATGCTTCGGCTCGGCCATGCTTTCCAAGCAGCAGGGGTCCACAGAGTTGTCCTCCATGCGGCATCCTCCGCAAAGCAGTGCCAACTGCGGTCCTTTCTTCTGGCACTGGCACAAGCAACAAGGGGAATTGGAATTCCACCGGGGAAGGCCCTGGAACTGTGCCATGTAGTCCAGGTCTCCACAGCTAGCCACCAAGACAGCTCTATAGCCGTCCGTGAGGTATTGGCCAGCTCGCTGTCCCTCGGGACTGCGGGGATCGAAATCATATCCTCGCCAGTCTTTTTTCGGGAAAACGCCGGACCACAAGGCTTCGAAAGACCAGAGTAAAAGACTCCAGAGGTCATCATTCGTCTCTTTGGAGAATGACTTGTTCCAGGCGGCCCAGATGTAGAGCTGGCTTTGTTTCGTGGAGCCGCTACCCAAAAGGGAAGCCCATGACATCACTAAGGCTGAGGAGGACCAAATTTTCCCCTTGGCCAGCACCGGTGTTTCGTCCCCGTGCAATGATAATGGTATCATTTTTCTCAGGGATGGCTCCGATGCCAGTGGGTGGCCCTGCCACTGCGGCAGCCCTCTGGCCGTTCGGATAATCATGCTAAGTATTGCCCAAGGCCTGGTCCGTCTTGGCCCTAAACCCGCAAAAGTTCGGATAATCATGCTAAGAATTGCCCAAAGCCCTCTTCCGTTTCAGTCTAAACCCTTCAAAACAGGGATAATCATGCTAAGTACTGCCCAAAGCCTGGTCCGTCTTTGTCCTCAACCCTCAGAAACAGGGATAATCATGCTAAGTATTGTCCAGAAAGCCCTGCCGCAGCTGTTTTTGTCTCGAATATCAAGCACCACCCAGCAGTCCCGTGTCCCTTTCTTGGTGTTACACCGAGTTAGGTCAGGGCGCAATAAATCAAACCACTCCCCTGTCCCTTTCTTGGTGTTACACCGAGTTAGGTCAGGGCACAATATATCAAACCACTCCCCTGTCCCTTTCTTGGTGTTACACCGAGTTAGCTCAGGGCACAATATATCAAAGCACTGCCCTGTCCCTTTCTTTGTGTTACACCGAGTTAGCTCAGGGCACAATATATCAAAGCACTGCCCTGTCCCTTTCTCGGTGTTACACCGAGTTAGCTCAGGGCACAAAATCCAAGAGCTATAACACTACGGGCTTCAGCTTCAAAAAGGTTCAGGGGTTCAGGGTTGGAGGGTTTACTTTTTAGATGAAAATATGATCGAATAGGACATTTCCTATCTCTGATGTTCTGATGGCCGGTTTGGGGCCACCACCAAAAAAAAAGAGGACCACAAGTGCTGGCATCGCAGCAGCCGCCAGTGAACTGCCAGGCTCCAGATTGAGAGTTTGGCTCCTGGAACAGTTTGCATGGGGCCTGCTATCACCACAGCAGGTGCAAGCAATATCTGCTGCAGCATTGCATGATGCCAGAGAACGAACTGTGACTGACCTCGAGCCCCTCGCCAAGCTTGGAAGCTCCGGTCAACACAGCAATTTGAGGGTTTAGGGCCAAGACGGACCAGGCTTTGGGCATTTCTTGGCATGATTATCGGTTTAGGCTGACAGGCCAAAGGGCTTTGGGCAATACTTAGCATGATTATCCGAACTTGTGAGGGTTTAGGTCCAAGACGGACCAGGCTTTGGGCAATACTTAGCATGATTATCCGAACTTTGGAGGGTTTAGGGCCCAGACGGACCAGGCTTCGGGCAATACTTAGCATGATTATCCCTGTTTCTGAGAGGGTTTAGGATCAACTCTTTTTATAAACCCTTTTGAAAGCCCTAAGCCCTTAAAAATTCAAGGCTGGACCCCAAACCCCCCCAGAGGCCGGCCTCAGAGGCCACGGGCCTTCAACTGGCCACTCCAGCCAGTGATCTCCTCGACCACTTGGCTGCACAGCTGGCCTGCAGAAGGGTTCGGATGTATATAGAGTCGCGAGTCGAGGGAAGAGGGTCGCCGATTCAGCACAGCATGTGTGGCCTGCTTCGAGCAGGGTCGTTTGGAGATTCTCCTTGTTGATGCGGGGGCCATCGGGCAGGTCCTGCAGCACACATTTGCATATATATATATATATACCATATATACGCACACTTGTACACATCTCTCTGGTCCTGGAAGGATCGCACATGCTCCAGCAAAGCTTTCTTGTCCGTCAGAGTTTGGATGGTGGCCTTCCTTGCGGGGGCTGTGACATGAAGCATGGGCTCTCTATACTCTCTGTTACATAGATTCTCGATAAGATGCATTTTCGCGAGGAGGGGGTCGTCTTTGTTCTGCTTGATCTTGTCGCTCAGCTTGCTTGCATCCTGGAGCTCTGTGATGTGCAATTCCCTGCCCTAACTCGGTGTAACACCAAGAAAGACACAGGGAACTGCAATGATACCCCCGAGGACCTTCTTGAGCTTCTCGACAGCGCTTTCAGCCTTCTTTAGGAGCCCGTCCGCTTTCGACCACTCGGCCTCTGACAAGGCCGCTGGCACGGCAGGCTCCTCCTTCTTGTCCTCGATGGCTTGCATCGCCGGGATGAGCCAGCGGCGTTTCTGAGGTCCTCCTCTGTCGGCTCAGGCCTTTCCATCGACACACTGTCGAACAGGTTTTGGAGTTGTCCTGCTTGGCAGCCTGAGACTCTCAGAGCCTCGGACTTGATGTTTGCCACGTTCCTTCGCTCGTCCATCGAAGTGGACTTCAAGGTTCGCCATTGACAGAACACCACGTTGTCTTGGGTGACAACGGAAACTTCATCATTCAAGATCGCGGCCCTGAGCTGCTCATCCGACAACCCAAAGCGCCCTTTAAAGAGCGTTCTCGGCAATCCCTTGTCTCCCCACCCAGTGGACTGCTTCTTCTCCAGACTGCTTTCCCCCGTCCCTTCTGCGGCTTCGCAGGCGAGGGCAAGCTTCCCTGTCTCGGGGTCACGACTCACTGAGTCCTCGATAAACTTCGTCAGGTTCTTCCTCTTGCCGTTGCCGCCGGCACTCAAAGCCTCCCACTCCGTCTTCATCTTCTCTGGCACTGCTCCTGCTGCGAGCAACACGTTGAACTTGTGTTGCTTGCTGCGGTCTCGTCGATTCGGCCCAGCTTCGCTTTCCTCCGGCTCTTCTGCTGGAGTCTCGCCGGACGCCTCAGGCTCAAGCCCATTGATCCAGTCGCCGGTCAAGGCCTCTGCCATGCTTCGCTTCCTTGTGATGGTCTTTGGCTTCGGGTCGGCCTTCGCTTTGGGGTCGGCCTTCGCTTTGGGGCTGGCCTTGTTGTCTTTGGGCTCGGCCTTCGCTTTGGGGTTGGCCTTGTTGTCTTTGGGGTTGGTCTTCTTCTTGGGGTCGGCCTTCGCCTTGGGGTCGGCCTTGGCCTTGGGGTCGGCCTTGGCCTTGGCTTTGGGTGCTGTCTTGGCCTTGGGTTTGCACTTCGACTTGGGCGTTGTGGGTGCTGGGGGTGCTGGGTTCGGCTTGGCCTTCGCTTTGGGCCCTTTGGGCTTGGCAGGGTCGGCCTTGGCTTTTGGCTTTGCGGGTGCCTTGCTGGGTGCTGGGCTCGCCTTCGCCTTTGCTTTGCTTTTCGCCTTTGCAACAGCCTTCCCCCCTGGCTTTCCTCCCGACTTCAGGATCCCCGGTCTTGGCTTACTGGGCTCGGCTGCTGGGGTCTCCTCCTGCTCCTCCTCCTCCTCCTCTACCTCGTCGTCGTTTTCCTCTTCTTCCTCTTCTCCTTCTGGGTCCACTTCCTCCTCCTCCTCAACCTCCGCTGGAGCCTGTTGCTCCTCTGACTCCGATCGCTTTGGCTTTGCCATAGCTGTGTGTGGGCACAAAAAAAAATCTTGTGCAAAAGATCGCTTCGGCAGAATTGGCTCCACGTCTCAGAGAAGGAGAGAGAGAGAGAGAGAGAGAGAGAGAGAGAGAGAGAGAGAGAGAGAGAGAGAGAGAGAGAGAGAGAGAGAGAGAGAGAGAGAGAGAGCACCGAGGGAGGGGTTAGTTTTCTGTATTCAAAAGCTATAGAATGAAACCGATTTTCTTTGTTTTTGCTCACATTGAAGACTTTTCCAGCAAAAGTGTATGCACTTTCGGCCAAAAGTGTATACACTTTTGGCAAAAGTGTATACACTTTTGGCAAAAGTGTATACACTTTTGGCCAAAAGTGTATAGACTTTTGGCGAAAGTGTATACACTTTTGGTGAAAGTGTATACACTTTTGCGAAAGTGTATACACTTTTGGTGAAAGTGTATACACTTTTACGAAAGTGTATACACTTTTGGTGAAAGTGTATGCACTTTTGGTGAAAGTGTATGCACTTTTGGTGAAAGTGTATGCACTTTTGGTGAAAGTGTATGCACATTTGGTGAAAGTGTATGCACTGTTGGTGAAAGTGTATGCACTTTTGGTGAAACTGTATGCACTTTTGGTGAAAATGTATGCACTTTTGGTTGAAATCTATACATTTTTGGTGAAAATGTATAGATTTTTGGCTAAAATGATGCGTTTCTGGTGAAAATGTATAGATTTTTGGTGAAAATCTATACAATTTTGGTAGAAATGTATAGATTTTTGGTTAAAATCTATACATGTTTGGTAGAAATGTATAGATTTTTTGGTTAAAATCTATACATTGTTGGTGGAAATGTCTAGATTTTCACTTAAGATGATACATTTTTGCTGGAAATGTATGAACTTTTGGTTGAAATCTCTACATTTTTGGTGGAAATGTATAGATTTTCACATAAAATGATACATGTTTGGTGGAAATGTATGAACTTTTGATTAAAATCTATACATTTTTGGTACAAATGTATAGATTTTGGGCTAAAATGTATGTGTGTTCTGCAAAAGTCTGTGTTTTTTTGCAAATAAAAAACATTTTTCAATAAAATCCATATGTATTCAATGAATTTTATTACTGGTTGCTGATAATCCAATCAAAATTACAATCGTTTTAAGTATTTTTCATGGAGATTCCAATGGAATTTCTACAGAACTCTAAATTCGCGGATGAAATTTGGCTCTTTGTTTTAAAGAAAATGATTGAAATGCTACGGAATTTACAAAACTCTTTTGTTTTACAATGTGAAACCGTCACAAAATATATGCAACTTCTACGGTTTCCGTCTCAAACCATTGAGAAGATTTTGATTTCATTCTGAACAATCACAACAAAAACCGGTTTTGGGAGCATAAGAACACTCACCCCACCCTATACCCCACCCCACCCTATACCCCACCCCAACCCCCATGATGGTTTTCGCTGTCCCCTTGTTGTGTTTTGGTGTGCTCACATAACCCTCCCCTGCCCTAACTCGGTGTAACACCAAGAAAGGAACAGGGGAGTTTGCTTTGAAGCTCGAAATTCCACTATATCTAGACCGGGCCGCGAAGCAAACTGTCCCTTTGTTGTCTTGTGTTTTGGTGTGCTCACATAGCCCTCCCCTGCCCTAACTCGGTGTAACACCAAGAAAGGAACAGGGGAGTTTGCTTTGGAGCTCGAAATTCCACACACATCTCTCCACTGCACACAGAAGCACACTATTTCTGTGATGTTTTCCTCTGCGACCACACGGCATCCGACCAGCATGGGGTCCTGGCAGCGATGGCCACCCCCCGATGAACCCGAAACGAAAGCCCTCCACCCTAACCCGAGAATTCTTATATAGCCCCCGAACCACAGCTCTTGTGTGTCCCAAAAGCCAGAAAGAAGCTGAAACCTCAGCCCCTTCAGCCACAGAAACCCGGGCCCCTTGGCCTGGTGCACCCAAAACAGCTCTCTCTTATCCCCATATACCCAAAAATCGAACCCCTCTGCCCTTATATATAACCCCAACCCCATAAACCTGAAACGAACCTGCCAGCCCTTAACCCGAGAACTCTCTCTTAACCCCGCGAACCCAAAACACACACCTTCGTCATGAATCCTCTAGACCCTCCAAGGATGTGGTTCGGAGGAGGAAATCGAAGTCACAGGAACCGCTGTGTGCCCGAAACCCGAAAAGCGCCACGACCTAGCACCCTCCGGCCTTCCACTTCTCAACCACTTCTCCAGCAGAGGAGTCCAAACCGGACCCTGTGCGAGTCCGGGGGCAATGCTTTTTTGGATTCGTGGCTTGATTGTAACAACCGACATGCGACCGAGTCTGCCCCGTTCTTTTGCTTCCATGCACTATATGCACACACTGACAAACACGTTGCGAGAGAGAGACGAACGATTTCGGTGCATCAACCGCAGAGAAATGAGACAGCACAGGGGTGCACGAGATTTTGCGGGTGGGCACACAGCGAATCGCGAGCAGCCACGTGCTGTATCCCCTGACCTAACTCGGTGTAACACCAAGAAAGGCACAGGGGAGTTAGCAGCCACGTGCTGTACACATCAAAAGGGCGATCATACTACACGGCCCTAAGTAGCTCCAACTTCCGGGCTATCACATCTTGCAGGGATTTGCCAGCAACCAGCATGTCCATGAGCTCCCGAGCAATCGCTGCCCTCCTTTCTGAAGCCAGGCCCTTCGAGGACACCTGCAGAAGCTGATGGCCCCTCTTCGTGCCGAGCCACTCACAGATGGCAATCCTCTCAGTCGGAACCCCTCTGTCGTACATCATGAACATATACTCAGCACCATCCGGAGCAGTAAAGATTTGCTCGGCCTGACCGGGCACGGCCTTTGCCACCGCCGCCGCCGGTTCGGAAGGCACGGCCTTTGCAACCGCCGCCACCGGTTCGGAAGGCACGGCCTTTGCAACCGCAGCCGTCGGTTTCTTCTGAACCGCCTTCGACTTGAGTTTCTTTTTAACAACGGCCGTCGCCTGGGCTTTACCCTTGGCCTTGGCCTTCGGCTTCGATCCTGAAGCTGTCTTGGTCTCCGTGAATGCAGGCCTGCGACTTCTGGCCAAAGCAATCAGATCCAAGTTGCTCAGAGTCACCGGCTGCTCTGCCGCAGCAGCACCGGAAGAAGCAGCACCGGAAGGAGCCGAACCGCAAGGATCCGAACCGCAAGGAGCAGAACCGGAAGGAGCACCACCGGAAGGAGGAGGAGTGGAAGGAGACATGAGGACATTGTCGAACATTCGGTGCAATCCAGAACTCTCCTCGGTCTCGAAGATCTCGACGGAGGTCGTCGAGTTATGATCCACTGCTGTGTTTGTCGTACACAGGGAATCAAGAGAAACCATAAAGGTCAGGTCCACATCGGACTCAGAGCCACCTTCTTCCTTGGCAGCCTCTTCAGCCTCCTCGTCATTCAGCTCGATCTTCTCCATGACCATTGTGACTTTGGCTTTCTCTGCCTCAGAAAGCCGCCTGAAAGCGGTGTCCCGTTTCTTCTTGTTAACTTTCAGCTGGCGAAACCAGCTGAGCAATATTCTGATCGTGATATCAACAGAGGCAGTGAACTTGTTCTTGTCCTGGCCGCTGTTGTTGGTAACGTCACCGCTCAACATGCAAGCTTCGAGTCATAACTCTGCTGAGTATCTTGGAATTTCGACAAACATCGCTGACCAGGTCAAAGGCCAGGGAGGCAAATCTCGCCATCCACCGGGCATCAGCGCTTTTTCTGAAAGTCCATGTACGGGGCCCATCCGGGCCCGGAACGATGCATGACCAGAGGTCTGTGGTGCTCTTGTCCCTCAAATGCCTGGTGAGGCATTTTTGCACATCTGACACCGACACAGTCGAGTCAGCACACACTCGCTTGTTGCTCGGTTTCCGTTGGACTGCCATCAAACGATCCAGACGAGTAGCCATGGCTCTGAAAAAACTGTATATAGCACTAAAGTAAACCCTAACCCTGAACCCTTGATGGCTCTGAAAGCTATATAGCTCTAGAGTAAACCCTAACCCTGAACCTTTCAAGCTGAAGCCCATAGGGTTAATAGCTCGAGTACAATGGGGGGGAACCCAAAACCCCAAGCTTGACGGGTTTGAAGGGCTTTACAGAGGTGTGGAGATTTGGGCTTGAGAGCTTTCCCTGCCCTAACTCGGTGTAACACCAAGAAAGGGACAGGGGACTGCTATGATACTCTCTTCCCCTGACACTGTGCGAAGACAGCCTGGGCACTACAATGTCATCAAACACATGTCGAGTTGCCCGAGCCTTGGCGGAGGCTTGCTGCTTGCAGATGATGTCCCACAGGCATCGAAGGATTTCCTGCGGCAGCAAAAGCACAAAGAACACGAATCGATGTTATGAGCCCAATGTCATCAAACGCATGTCGAGTTGCCCGAGCCTTGGCGGAGGCTTGCTGCTTGCAGATGATGTCCCACAGGCATCGAAGGGTTTCCTGCGGCAGCAAAAGCACAAAGAACACGAATCGATGTTATGAGCCCAACGTCATCAAACACATGTCGAGTTGCCCGAGCCTTGGCGGAGGCTTGCTGCTTGCAGATGATGTCCCACAGGCATCGAAGGATTTCCTGCGGCAGCAAAAGCACAAAGAACACAAATCGATGTTATGAGCCGTACCACCACATTTGCAACACCACGTCCATCAAACACACATGTATAGCTGCCGCTCTGCATAGAGGTTTTTGCGAAGGCACAAGGCCGTGAGTCACAGGTGAAACAGAGAAGCAAGACGGCAGCCCGAGCCACACAGAGGCTTTTTTCGGGGTGCAGAAGATGCTACACCTGTGCGATGGCCGTGCCTGGCCTCCTGGGGTCCCCTGCCTTATATAACTCGGTGTGACTATCCATGTTCTGTGTTTGGTGGCAAATAGTTATAAGTAATAAATATATATCAACCCCTATGATACTGCCTCCCTGCTCCCACACTCCCTCCCCTGCCCTGACTCGGTGTAACACCAAGAAAGGAACAGGGGAGTTTGTGTGGGAGCTCATTATAACTATAATAAATATATGTCAACCCCTCTTATAACATCCACACAACTCACACCAAGAAAGGGACAGGGGTTGCTCCCACACTCCCTCCCCTGCCCTGACTCGGTGTAACACCAAGAAAGGAACAAGGGAGTTTGTGTGGGAGCTCAAAATCGCAATGACAAAGGTATCAGTTTTCTCAGGGATGTCCGGGAGTGCTTCAGATCTCCTCGATGGTCATCACCCAGACCCAGAAGCCGTCCTCCATGATCTGGTACCAGCAAATGATGAAGATGGTCTGGGTGCCCGCGATGGTCGCCATGTTCTCCAACTCGGGATCCTCAGGCCTCTGGAGCAGGACCACAGGCCACCAGCTACTCTCGGGCTCGGGGCTCTGGAAGCTGCGGGTTCCTCAGGGCCGCGGTTTAGGGTTTAGGGTTTATGGTTTAGGGTTCAGGGTTTAAAGGGTTTAGAGGGTTTAGAGGGTATAGGGTTTTTAGAGGGGTTATAGAGAGGGTTTACAGGGTTTAAAAAGTTTAGGCCTTTGGAGCTCGGTGTGGAGCTTCAGGCGGTCCTTGGAGTACGAGGCGTTCTTGTACTTGCCGGACGTCGGAGCATAACTCACCCAGGCCAGATGGTACTTGGCCACCTGGACTCGTGTCCAAACCCCCTCTGTGGTCACTCTTCCTATACTATTCTATGAAAATTCTATAAACCTTATCGTTATTTTTTATTGGTTCTCCTTTTTACCCACAAGCCCACCTCCTCCTTTGTGAGGAGGTGCGTTTTCGCATTCTTGCCCACGCCGTATTTGATTTGCATCGCCTTGGTGGCATGGATGCTCCGTACCAAGGACGGAAGCTTCTCCACATCGCCCCAGTACTCCACACTGGTTGCCAGCGACAAACGGCGCAATCCCCCGCCGAATCGCCGAACTCTCGCGAAGGACTCCCGGACCTCGGTGGCCGTCATCGCACTTGGGTCCGTGAGGAGGTACGACGACCTGAGGTGCTCCTTCATGTAACTCTTGTGGTCCTTATTCAGTACGTGCCACTCGTCCACGTACTTGTCGCAAAAGGGGCATTTCTGGTACAGGAAGCAGGAAGTCAAGATTTTATCCGCTTCCGTCACCTGCTCGTCCGTGATCTCCGGCATCATCATGCCCGGGCTTTCTTGAAACTCTCCAAACAGTTTCTTGAAGAGGTCCTCCTTCTGGTTCTCCGCGAGCTGCTCCAAGACAGCCTCCGTGAGGTTGCCGCTGCCCTTGCGGTACTTCTTCACCATCTTCAAGATGTCCTCGCTGGGCATCTTGTCTGCATCTTCCTTCGAGATGATCCCCTTGTGGATCAAAGCTTTCTTCGCCTGTTTCACCTCACGCAGAGGGCCTCTTCCATGTTCCGGCTTGCTGTTGGACCGCTTTGATGTGCTCATGGTCTCGTTGTCGGACGGACCGTCTGGCTCCTCCATCAAAACATCTTCCGGCACTTTCGTGCTCTCGGTGCGGGCATCGAGCCCCTCCAGGGCCGTCTTGTCCATCTTCTTCACACTCCCGCTGGCCGGCTCCATGGCGAGGAGCTACGAATTTAGATCTATATATAAAAGGTGCCCACACAAACAAAATCTACAATTAAAAACACATCTAAACTATATAACAATAACATACATTCGCTAACCATCTTATAAATGCCTGCCCTAACTCGGTGTAACACCAAGAAAGGGACAGGCGGGCACAAAGAAAGTAAAGCTGTTTGCTACCACATGTCACATGTGTGTGAACCTGTCAATAACATAACATGCTTTCGCAACCCGTCCGACGGTTGCACACCAAAAAAAAGCTGCCGCTGCTTCGCGAAGCCACACACACACAGGCACATGTGTGAACATGCTTTGGCATCCGGTCTTGTGAGCACACAAGCAACTCTCTCTCTCTCTCTCTCTCTCTCTCTCCCTCTCTCTCTCTCTCTCTCTCTCTCTCTCTCTCTCTCTCTCTCTTCTTCTCTTCTCTCTTCTCTCTCTCTCTCTCCTCCTCTCTCTATCTCTCCTCTCTCTCTCCTCTTCTCTCGCTCTCTCTCTCTGCTCTCTCTTCGCTCTCTCTCTCTCTCTCTCTCTCTCTCTCTCTCTCTCTCTCTATCTTCTATCTTCTCTCTCTCTCTCTCTCTCTCTCTCTCTCTCTCTCTCTCTCTCTCTCTCGGAGGTCCTGCCACGAAAAGACCGAGAATGTTTGCCAGGACCACGAGGAGCTCCGCAGATCTTCGGCTTGCCTGTCCTGCCACACAAAGATGAAAAGATCACCAAAACCGGGAGCACATTCACTGTTCGAGCAAGTCCTGCCACCACACCATAGCCGGCCATCCAGGGCGGTCACATCAAAGCACACTGTGCATCTATCAACGATACAGGATTGTGAACTTGTTCTGCTCGTCTCTCAATCACCCTATATATATATATATGTATCGACAACCCGACATATATACATATATATATATATATCCTAAACCAGAAAAAACATCCATATTATATGTTCGTAATAAGTGCAAAAAAGGATGTCCTCTCTGCTGAGTGCGAGAGACCCACCCCTGCCCTGACTCGGTGTAACACCAAGAAAGGGACAGGGGCGGGCTTGAGAAGAGACACACGGCCCGGCAGCCCGTAATAAGTGCAAAAAAGGATGTCCTCTGCTGAGTGCGAGAGACCCACCCCTGCCCTGACTCGGTGTAACACCAAGAAAGGGACAGGGGCGGGCTTGAGAAGAGACACACGGCCCGGCATGAAAATCACAAGTGCACTCGCAATGCCTTCCGGCTTTAGATGGCCTCCCCCGGGGTCTTTGCAAACACCAGCGTAAGTCTCACCTCCACTCGGCCAGGGTGGATCCGCCATGCCTGAGGGGTGTGCACCTTCCTTCCACAAGGTCACAGGAGTGTGCTTCCGGTTTTGCCGCCCCCGAAAGCCCGGACGGAAGCTTGTCTGCTTCCTCCTCCTTCATGACCCCTTTGTAGACGACCGCTTTCTTGGCCTTTTTGGCCTCTAGCAGCTGACCTCCGTGAGCCGGTTCCTGGAGGAGGTCGAGTGCTACCGTCTGGAACTGCATCCAGACTTGCCGGTCGAGGAGTGGTGCAGGGACTTGCCCTCAAGCCGCAGGCCAGTGGCCCTGCAGTGATGTATGGCGGGGGGTAGGTGATACTGTCTCACGGACAATCATGCACAAGTCACACAAGCAAGAACTGATTTCAGGAGCTCCTGTGGTTTAGAGGATATACTCTCGCTCTCTGGCTCTCTCTTTCTCTTTTTCTTTTGTTTTTTCACCGAAACAAGAGAAGCCATGTCGGCCTTCGGAGTCACAACTGTACACGTTGTCTCTGTCGGCAAATCTCGCTCTCGGAATCTATACGAATCTATCGCCACGTCGGCCTGCCGGGCATTCGGAATCCACTACTTTTTCGACACGTCGCACTTCCCAGTGCCTGTTTTTCAAAACACCTTTTCGGCACAGCTTGGCCCATTGAACAAAATAGGACAAAATTTACACGCCAGAATTTACACAAAGAAAATGTAATTTTTTTACACCCCAATTTGGCGTATAAATCATTTATACCGTTTTTGGCGTGTAAATTTTCCGAACGTGTAAAATTACACGCAAAGGATCTATCAGGTAGCACCAGGAGTGATGCGCTGTAACAGCGCATCACCCGCGATGCGCTGTTACAGCGCATCACCCCAATAACTCAGCCCAACCGAAGCCCCCAGCCAAGCACCAGCCCAGCCCCAGCCAAGCCCCAGGCCCCACCACCCCCAGCACCAAGAGTGATGCGCTGTAACAGCGCATCACCCGCGATGCGCTGTTACAGCGCATCACCTGCGATGCGCTGTTACAGCGCATCACCTCAATAACACAGCCCAAGCCGAGCCCCAGCCAAGCCCAACCAGGCCCCACCCCCATCCCCAGCACAATACCCCAGAACCAGGAGTGATGCGCTGTTACAGCACATCACCTCCAATAACTCAGCCCAAGACCCAGCCACCCCCCCAGCACCAACCCCCCATCCCCAGCACCAGGACTGTGACAGCACATCACCTCCGATGCGCTGGTACAGTCCATCACCCCCAATGGCCAAGCCCGAGCCAAGCCTCCAGCCCCCAGCCCCCCAGCCCCCCTTGCCCAACCCCACATCACCAGCACCAGCAGTGATGTGCTGTAACAGCGCATGACGCCCAATGCGCTGTTACAGTGCATCGCTTTGAGTATTTATCTATATTTTTGCTAAAAATTTCTTAGTAACCATGGATGTGGCCCGGCCTCACCCCTACACTCCAACTTCAACCCCTAAACCGACATTGGCCCTGCCCTAAACTTAATCGTACTGAAGTAACCCTAGTAGTAAGAGGGTAAACGCAGAAACCCAGAAGTAAAGGACCTGACCCGAAACCCTCCATGAGATACACACTTTGGTCACCGGTCCTCATCCCAATCCTGCTCCTTGGCCTTGTGCCCCTTACCGGGTTCTTTCGTCTGCTGAAGAGGGGCCGGAACTTCCTGGTCCTGAACGGCCTCAAGCTGGGGAGCCTCGCATTCCGGACACAAAGGCCTAAACTGTGCCATGTTCAGGGGCCGGTTGTTGCCAAAGCACCGCAAAGGCCGAAGGGTCCGCGTCCATGACCGTCAGCACGTAGCTGATCTCAGGCCACTCCTTGCAGATGGCGTCCCAGAGCTTAGTTGTCCGCAGAACTTGCAAAACTGCAAAAAACTACTCTGACTGACTGCCAGTGCCAGGTGCCACATGACAACCCTAATCCGGCCAGGGCGCAACCACGTTGACATCCCTCATGCCAGATTGGCCAGATTGGCCAGATTGGTCACCTTGTTGATCCATGGCAGCACGGGTGAAACACGAAAACCTATAGCACGCAGGTGTCAGAGCCCAACATGGTCAGTGAGAAATGAAAAGCCTAAAGTTTGGGCCTAAAGACCAAAGATTGACTTACAACCTGAGGGCCTGAAGGCTTGAAGGAGCCTGGCCTGAAGGGGCCTGAAGTGAAGTCCTGAAGGGGCCGGAAGGGGCCTGCATGCAGGGGCCTGCAGGGGCCTGATGCTGAAAGGACTGGCATGAAGCCTGTACGTGTGCCACATGACATGAGCGAACTCAGACTTGATAGTGAAGCGGCACACATGGCACATGGCACTCACTCATTGCAGGGCACTGTTGCACAACCAACCCACGCAATCTCAAACCCTGGCACTGCCACCATTAGTTAAGAAAGGCACTATTTCATTGAGCCCGCCTCGACTTCAGCGAAAAGCCGAACGCCGATCGGCGGCAGCACGCTGTGCGGGCCGAGCCTCGGAATCATTCAGATGCAATGGTGGTCAGTCGGAAGTTGAAAAGAATCTATGCCTATGCTTCGCTGTGGCAAACTAGCAACAATCCGACAGCAGCTTTTTTCCAATCAGACACTGGCCGGCCGGTGACCTCAATGTGAGAAGCTTCGAACGTGACAGGATAGGCCGTCAAAAACCAAGGCCGAAGGGGCCGTGTGATTGTGTGCATGGGCTACTGCTGCTGCTGCTACTACTACTACTACTACTACTACTACTACTACTACTACTACTACTACTACTACTACTACTACTACTACTACTACTACTAAACTACTACCGGGTTTGGTTTTTGGGACTACTACTACTACTACTACTACTACTACTACTACTACTACTACTACTACTACTACTACGACGACGACGACAATGACTACTACTACTACTACTACTACTACTGCTGCTGCTGCTGCTGCTGCTGCTGCTGCTGCTGCTGCTGCTGCTGCTGCTGCTGCTGCTGCTGCTGCTGCTGCTACTATTTCTATTACTGCTGCAGTTTCAGGGACAAAGTCTGTGGCCAGCTGGCGCCTATGGACGCCTAACTACTGAATTCGTATTCTCTCACACAGACTCATGACTCATGCTCTCTCTCTCACACACACACACAACCACGGTCACCAGTGCCGCCAGTGCTAGCATCAGATCATTCTAGCCGCACTTGCCTTATGTCCAGTCAGGTGTGCCATCCTCCCAAACCAGAAACATAACAGAATGACAGAATCAAAAGTGGTAGTCAGTAACAGTCAATAGTCACCTGTGACTCAGGCATGACCATATGACATATGACTAGTGATTAGATTGGCCAGGCATGGACACACAAACTTGGATTGGCCAGATGGGCCTGCTACTCATGTGTGCCATCGGCCCAAAGCAGAATAAAGTATGAAGTTGTAGCTGGTAGCCACGTAGTCACTTATGACTAGAGACGACTGAGTAGCGACTAGTGATTAGATTGGCCAGGCATGGGCACACAAAACCTCATTGCGGCCGAGATTGGCCACAACGGCCCGGGGCCAGGCCCATTGGCCTCACTAGAAGTCTTTCTCCTGCTCCCACCAGAAGTCGAAATTTTTCTTGTCTCGGATGGGCAGGCGCTGTGCACTGTGAACAGCTCTTTCAAGGCCAGGCACAAACAACTGTGCACATGTCATGCCTGACCAACCTGCAACCAAGTCACGGAGGCGCCGGAGCT